TTAGGTTTGATAAATAAATAAAATCAGTGCATCTAACCCGTTGAAACTTGTTTTATTTAATACATTTTATGTCAAAATTGATAAATCAGGGTAAAAAAAATGCACCCAGAGCATAAGTTTAGAACGTAGGCAGATGTAACAGACATAGCGTTTTGTTTGTGCAATTTATGGTACCCAATTAAAATTTTCTTATGTCTTTGATTTAAGAATAATTTTGTAAGACTAATTATTAAATATTAATATTTATGCCACCCTATGATAATATACATTTGTAAATTAAATATTAATGTATTTCAGTCAACTATAAAATGAAAAGAATTTTGTAAAAAAATACATGAACATAACGCAATTGAATCGTTCACTCACGTAAGCATTTGATAACCATAAGCATTACGACACGTCGTGAATTTTAGGCGTTTCGATTTTATCGCAGACAGAGTTTGAAAAAGTTATGGCTGTCAACTTTCGTATTGCTCTCGCTTTGACTTAGGCGGTCAGGCCGCTGGTATCTTATACATGCACACCAAGACAAAAATAATGATATTTCGCTGACATTTCGCGAGTATAAGAAACAAGATTTTTTTTTTTTTTTTTTTTTATAGATAGGTCCGACAAATGACTCCACCCCACCTGATGTTAAGTGAAGGTGAAGTCCAGACGTGACGATAGCTGATACAGCAGTTTTACCTGCCACACCAGCCATCTTCACCCTGCCGGCCTGCATGTTGCTTCTTCACGCCTCTTTTAAAGGATCCCAGGTTGTAAGAGGGAGGGAACACGTGAGCGGGCAGAGCATTCCATTTACGGATAGTGCGACAAAGAAATGAGTCACCAAATTTCTTTGTACGCGTTGGAATTGTGGCCACAGTTAGACGATGACAACGTAGGCCAGCGCGCGTGGTCCTCTGAAGGAAAGGAGAAGGTGGGATAAGAGAGAATAACTCCTCAGAACACTTGCCGTGGTACAGACGATAGAACGCGCTTAGTGACGCCACGTCACGGCGTAATTGAAGAGGCTCAAGGTGTTTAGTCACCTCCTCATCGCCTATGATGCGGATCGCGCGTCGCTGTAACCTATCCAAAGCATCGATCAAGTACTTGGCGGAGCCATCCCAGAGGTGCGAGCAATATTCCACGCAGGACCGCACTTGCGTTTTGTACAACAAGCACAGTTGATCGGGCGTGAAAAAACGCCGCACCTTGTTCAGGACTCCGAGTTTGCGTGAAGCTGTTTTGATCACGGTTTCGATGTAGTTCTTTGGATTCAGGTCTGAGCGAACTTCCATACCGAGCATGGAAATGTTGCTCTGCAGCGGTAGTGTTGTGCCCTGAAGAGATGGAAGGGGAAGGAATGACGATGTTTTTGCCGTGAAGGCGCAAGCCTGAGTTTTTTTGGCATTGAACTCAACCAAGTTCCTGGTACCCCATTCGGAAATGTGGTCCAAAGCCTGATTGAGTTCAATGACAAGATTCTCGCGTTTCTCCTTGGTTACCGCCAGCCCAGCCGCTGCTTCTCCAAGATACCCCGCATGCACTGTACTATTGTCTGCATAGCAATGAATATTCCCAAGAGGAATTAAGTCATTGATATGCAGCAGAAAGAGAGTGGGGGATAGGACGGAGCCCTGGGGAACGCCGGCATTCACTGACATGAACCGCGAACTGCTACCATCCGTAAGGACACGAATTCTACGCTCATGCAGGAAGTCAGCTACCCAAGAACAGAACTGGGCTGGCAGACCGTATGCCGGAAGCTTGGAGAGAAGGCTTTTGTGCCAGACCCTGTCAAAAGCCTTGGCAATGTCAAGGCTGATAGCCAACGACTCGCCACGCTTGTCGATAGCCTCACCCCAGATATGAGTTAAGTACGCTAGAAGATCACCCGTCGATCGTTTCGGTCTAAAACCATATTGACGATCATTAATCAAGGAGTGATCCTCTAGGTAGCGGGTCAGATGGTTATTAAGGACCTTTTCTAAAACTTTACATAAAACTGAGGTGACTGCTATTGGCCGGTAGTTTGCCGGGTCTGAGCGATCCCCTTTTTTGGGCACCGGTTGCACATTGGCATCTCTCCAAGTCTCCGGCACACGCCCCAAAGAATACGAGCATTGGTACAAGCGCGTGAGCACGGGAGACAACTCCGCTGCACATTTTTTGAGTACTACTGCTGGGATGCCATCAGGTCCACTAGCTTTCCGGACGTCGAGTGATTGCAATTCGGCACGAACCTCGCGCTGCCTGATTTTAATATCAGGCATCGTTGTGCCACAGTGAGGTAATGATGGTGGCAGTGCATTGCAATCATCGATTCGGGAGTTAGCCGCAAAGAGTTTTGCCAGTAAATCGGCTTTCTCCTGCGGCTTATGGGCTAGTGTTCCGTCTGGGCATCTCAGAGGTGGCAGCGAGGGCTCGCAGAAGTTTTTTTGCACGGCCTTGGCCAGACGCCAGTAGCTACGGGAACCCGTAGGATGCGTCATAAGTTCCTGGCCAACACGTGCAACGCGCTGGGCATCCGCTCTAATGTAAGCCTTCTTACAGGCCTTGGAAGCAAAATTGTAGGCTGCTTTGAGTGAATCGACCTCGGGATCCTTGAGAGCGCGACCTCTGATCCAAGCACGATATGCCGCTTGCTTACGCTAAGCAGCTTCAGCACAGTCGTGATTGAACCAGAGGTTACGCGTGCCCTTACTGATGAGATCAGAATGAGGAATATAGTATTCCATACCCATTATAATCTCCTCAGTAATGGCAACGGCACTGGCCGATAGGTCCCTGTCACTGAAGCAGCGCTGCTTCCAAGGGACGGACGCAAAGTAGTCACGTATACCGTCCCAATCTGCCGACCCATAATGCCAGATACGGCGCTTGACCACTGCTGGACGCGGAGGCTTGGCCTGTGGTGCTTTGGCAGATATCAGGCAGTGGTCTGACGAGCCCAGGGGGGCTCTTACCACAACCTGATAGCCCTGTGGATGGGTCGTGAGCAGAAGGTCCAGTAAAGAAGGCGCTTGACTTGGAATATCTGGGATCCTGGTGGGCTGATCAACCAGTTGCTTCAAGTCATGCGTGAGAGCGAATGCGTGAGCAGAGATCCCTGCATGGTCAGTTTTGGAGGAACTTAACCACAAATTGTGGTGAGCATTAAAGTCCCCCAAAAACACCAATTCTGCATTGGGAAATTGTTCCTGTGCGTCATCTGCTGCCCGACTAAGGTGTTCAAAAAGTCGAGTTGTCTCAACATCGCCGGTGTGGGATCTGTAGAGACACACGTAAACTCTGGCCAGGGGGCCAGAGTCGACGTGTACCCCCAGCATGGAGAAGGAGGGATCTTCCAAGCAGCGGAGACGGCGACAACAAACATCCGCCCGAACATACAGGCATACACCGGCTTTCGCTTTGAAGGACTCTTCAAGCACGTAGCCGGGATAATTAAGGTAGCCTGTGTCAGCAGGCGGAAGTATTTGTGTCTCCGTCAGGAACAACAATGCTGGCCGTGCTGTCTCAAGATGGTGGTGGACAGCGTTGAGGTTAGAGTGGAGTCCGCGTATGTTGCAGAACTCGACCTCAAACAGCGTTGAAGGCGTGGGGGTGTGCACCGCTGAACGTCCAAACTTTGTTTTAGGAGCTGCCATTATGGAAGTGAAAAAGAGACGTGAAACGAGTGGACGTTGTCGCGACAAGACCGGGCAAATTAGGGAGGCATGTTTCCCCGAATGATTGCCTGCAGAGGATATACGCCGACCCGCCGGACGGAAGGGCCCCCGCACCCCCCCGGAAGTGGCCGCCGGGACCCCACGCCCCGGTCACCAACCGGCACGACGGTCCACCCCGAGATTATGCGTGACATGATGGGGCAGCCTCGCGAACTGGTTAGGAACGCTCGGGCCCCTGTACTGTGCCACGGGCGGCCAGCGGGACAGCCGTTTCTACGGGTCTCCCTGGCCGGCGGGTCGATGCAGTCCTCCCGGCATCGGTTCCACGGATGCCTAGCCTGGACCGAATCCGTCGCGACAACCTCCACTCGAGCCCTGGTTGTACGCTGGCTGACCCCGAAACGCGCGAGAAGCACTTCACGGGTTTTTCACCATGCGCACGGTGGTAACAAACCAGGCGGGTGTTAGGCACCCTACCACCAGCAGAGCGGATGGAAGCTCCGATATCCCTTAGTCGCCTCTTACGACACCCACGGGAAGAGAAGGGGCGGTGAGTTGTATTCTTTCTCCGTCACCGCACAGATAAAAAAGATTCGCGTGTTTTGTTTTGTATGACACGCACACAAGTATATAAAGCCTATTCAGTTTTTATCGCAGTGTTTACAAAGCGACGCTCTATCTAGAGAGTAAATAATCAAAGGAATGAAATTAATAGCCCACGTGGTTTATATACGATTTTAAATCATTGTATATCCTAAACAGTCATGTTAAATGAAAAATGGAACGTGGAATGGAAGTGAGGAACCTAGACGTGATTTATGATTTACTAGATAATGATACCCCATTTGACATATTTCGTAAACTTTTTTTTTCTTTCTTACAATATGGCGCCTGGCTATCCTCATATTGAATTTCGATTACTATCATATGTTTAGTAGCACTACCATGATTTAGACGAATCTATTGATGTATGAATCATCAAAATCGGTACACGCGTTTGGTTTCTAGTGTGCCTTAAAGGAACATACGTACTTAAATACACTGTTAAACACCATATCCTGTCTGCGCGTCGCGCAACTCAAACGAATATAAAGATTGCCATCTGTCTGCCAGTAGATAAGATTGAAAGCGTATTCACTGCTTCATAATAATAATTTATTTATGTGTACATATACCAAATCACAATTATAATTATGTGAGACCCTGACTTCTAAACTAGTATGATCTGTATTTCAGAAGCCAGTGTCTTTCAATCAAAACTATACTAGGTGGTACTGGGTGCAAACATTTTGCGTGGTACTGGGTGCACAAAAAAAAAGTAATTAAGGCTTGTAGTTAGCTAACCTCTCTTGGGACCTTGTCCACCCGCTCCATGGCCGAGAACTGCGCGAGGATCTGTTTGACGGTGGGCCTGGTTGGAGCCTGTCCGCCGCCGCTGCTCCACGCACTGGGCGGCAGGTATATTTTGTGTGCGCCCTACAACACAGGATAAAACATTAAACGACGAGTAAAATCATCAAAATTAGCTCGCGCACCTCGTAGATATGCGCGAATAAATATAAAAACTACAGCTGAATTGAAAACCTCCTCTTTTTTGAAATTTAGTTAAAAAGAAATCTTTAACTAAAGGATCCGAAACGTCTAGACTAATGAAAGAAGTAATAAATCGCGCTTTATAAAATACTCATTGATCGGGTGATCAATAAGTGTTTTATAACGTGATTGGTGTGTGTGTATGAAAACTTGCACCAAATATGAAACTACGTGCCACAAAGCGCGAGCCGCCAACCACGGCGGGTGGCGGTTGCGCGAATGATAATTTGTATAGGCATTTAGGTACGACAACTCACTGGTGAGCCATACTCGGACAGTTTTCGTCTTGGTTACCCGACGCCGTCTTCTAGCCTGTGTTCGAGTAAAAACAAAGTAAATATTGCATCGGGTGTCCAAATCCGAGTAATGTCTGTCGTGCACCCGAATACTGGCTAACGACCAAGTGTAAATGCGGCTTTAGTTCTACAAGGCTTGCCAGAAAAGAATTTTGGTATTTGAAAAATAGCTTAGTTCTTTTGACAAATTTTATAGCCAAATGAAAATTTGCGTTAATTAGTTTGTGATGTGATAGTTTGGGAAATTTATTGACTGTACATTAGTAAGAACGCAGAACGCCAAAAGCCTGGGCCAGAGGTGAGGTTGTCCTATTCTACAAGAGAGGTGACAAAGCACTCTTGAAAAACTATCGACTAATCTCTCTTCATAGCCATGTTTATAAGTTTTTTTATGCATAATAATTTTATTTTTATTTTTTTTTAATTTCGAGAGTCATTCCGAATTGTCTTGCACGCAGGTTTGTCGACTTCCAACCTCCCGAACAAGTCGGTGGCCCAAAAGGCTTCAGTACCATAGACCACATTCATACGCTGTGGCAGGTTATACAGAAGACCAAGGAGTATAATCTGCCATTTTGCTTGGCGTTCGTGGACAATGAGAAAGCCTTCGATTCCATTGAGACCTGGACGGTGTTACAGTCTCTCTAATGGTGGCAAGTAGACTAGAGGTATGGCGAGGCAATATGGTACCTTTACGAAAACGCCACTACGTCAGGCTGATTACAGAACCAGAGCTCTAATCCTATCCAACTGCAGCGAGGCATGAGACAGGGAGATGTGGTATCTCCGAAACTGTTCACAGTTGAATTGGAAGATTTTTTCAAGCTTCTGGATTGGAAAGGACGAGGCATCAACATTAATGTTGAGTAGCTTTCGCACTTTCATTTCTGATTCGATGATATAGTTCTTATGGCTGAGACCTTGGAAGACCTTAACATCGAGCATCGGCTCGAACACCTTAGTAGTGCTTCCCAAAGAGTGGATTTTAAGATGAAAATGGATAAGACGAAACCTATGTCGAATGCCCATGTAGTACCCGTCTCAGTTAAAATTGGGAACACTTCACTCGAAGTTGTCGACCGTTACGTTTACCTAGGATAGACAGTCCAGTTAGGTAAGTCCAACTTTGAGAAACTCTCGTCATATCCAGCTCGGATGGGCAGCGTTCGGGAAGAGCGTCTAAATTACCTCAGTGTCTCAAGACAAAAGTCTTTGACCAGTGTGTGTTGCCAGTGATGACCTAAGGATGAGAAGGCTCAAGTTCACACAGCTAGTAATGGAGAGAGCGATGCTCGGTATTTCTCTACACAATAGAATCAGAAATGAGAAAATCCATAGGAGAACCAAAGTAATTGATATCGCTCGAAGGATTCATCGCTGAAGTGGCAGTGGGCGGGACAGGTAGCTAGAAGAACCGATGGGGCGGAAAGGTTCTAGAATGGCGACCATTCACCGGACGACGCTCAGTGGGCAGGCCTCCTACAAGGTGAACCGGCAATCTTGTGAAGGTCGCGGGAAGCCGATGGATGTGAGTGGCGCAGGACCGATCGGTGTGGAAATCCTTGGGGGAGGCCTATGCTCAGCAGTGGGCATCGTACGGCTGGCATGATGATGATGATGACATTAGTAATTTGCCTGCGACTGCTTTATATATTTACTGACCTGACTGATGATGATTACTGACCATTTTATTGAAGAGTATCGCCCGCAGAAGGCCAGCGCCTCCTTCCTGCACTACACTCAGTAAGTAGGGCTCTCTCGCTCCATCTACGCCTATGTAATTTTGGTGCACTGAAAAAGAAAATAAAATTATTAAGGTAATACATATCAATACTTAATAAATATCAAGTTCTCCGGCTTAATACTTATTAAGTAAGTACTGAAAAAACTAAATTAACACTTTGAAAGATATAATTTAATTATGATCACCTTTTGTCTGATTGAATCTGAATTGAATTTGAATGATCAGAATTGTCAAAACTGTTGCAGAAAATTCAAAATTGAACTTTTGTTTATTCCGAAAGAGATTAAACATCACAAAGACTTTAATCAAACGGGAAACTGTTCATTCAAAAATTTTGATAATTTCTTTATTTAGCAATCAGTAACTGTTAAGGATTGTTGAAATATTGGTTTATATGTTTCTTAACAATGAACAATAGAAAAATTATAAACCGTTTTTTCTGTGTTAAAAGGGTGGCACACAAGCATATTGCCCGTCTGATGGCAAGCGGTCACCATATCTAAATTCGATATATTTATTCAGTTTAAGCTTTACATTACATGTGGAAGTCGAAAGCTACGCCATCGTTTCGCAAATTTACGGCGGGAAACTTTGTACTGAGAAGAACCGGCAAGAAACTCAGCAAGCGCTGCTTTTTCTCCCTGTATTATTTCATACAGTGTCGTCAAATTGAAAGCTGATATTAAACTTACTTACTTAGGGCTTATAGACGCTTGCGATACCAAAGCTTTCACTCGCGAAAACAAACAAAAATAAACTTTATTAGTTAATAATAATAATAAGGTTTATTTCTGTTTGTTGCAAAAATAAATAGATTTTTTTCAATAGTCAGTCATACTAAATATTCAATGGTCACAGACACAGACACGCCTAAAATTATCAATTCTTATATTTTCGTCATCAAAAACGTTACGTGAACGCTGCGGTAGCTTTACCCCCCTAGCATGAGCACTGCGATATGACATATCGCTAGTTTTTATCACTCCCAATTGTCAAATTACTATGGAGTTTGACAGTTAGACGCGATAAAAACGTGATATAATGCAAATATTTCAATCTGAAAGCTGACAGCATTCGAATGGGTTAAGTAGCGTATCATCATGGCTTGTCTAATCAGTGTTAATCAATCTTAGGGCATAGCATTAAAACTTTACAAAACTATGATATATTATGTAGGGTTTTTCAACAAGAACTTTGTTTTCCAAAACAAAATAAAATAAAAAATTTAGATGAAGATGATTAATTTTTTTATTGAATTACAAAGAGAAAAGTTCGGCAATTATGAATGAAAAATGATATCTTGCAAATGTCCACCACGAGCACGCTGACAGATCTCGATTCTTTCATCAAAGTTTTTAATCACTGTTTGGTAAAATGGCGGGACTATTTCGTTAATCACATAGAATTAATTTACGTTTATTTTCAGTGTCAGCTGATCATAAGCATTTTCCAGATGTTACTGTACGAAATTTGTTTAGCAAGAAATTGTGAGATTATGCATGAAGCAGCACGAAGTTATTGTGACTTCTGCAAATGAAATAGTACCATAATCTTTAAAGACAAACCAACTCTGTAATGACCTGAAAATGAATTAATTTGTTCTTAAAGTTTTAAGTTTCTTACGATTATTTTTTATAAATGTTATTTTATAATTGTTTATTCATTTAAATTCGTTCTCCATCCTTTGAATCATTACCTACCTAGCATAAAAGCTTCACAGATGTCCATACTTTTGTATTTACAATAATTAAAGGGATTTAAAATAACAAGCGCTTTACGTAACACTTTTAGCAGCTCGTCGTTTGTTACTATTGACGTCTGATAAAGCCAACATGGTTGTCGATATACGTCGCTTTTGGGTAACTTATCGACAATGTTGTCCAAGGAGGATATATAGTATTTCGCTGCTGCGGAACGCTATCGGAAATACAATATGCTATACACGAATGTACGATTCGATATTCAAATGACAGTATACGCCTGGATATATGATACCGTTTGCCGTGAAGTGCTTTCTAAGCAGACTTCTGCTTTCTAGAGAATGTACATGCCTATTGCAATTCTCAGTGTCCGGAAAAATATGTCTGTTTTCAGTCACCCAAAACATTTTTGCTCACATGATTTTTGAATATGCATTCTAATTCCGAATTACTCAGTTTGAGAAGTAATATTATATTTTAGCGATTTGTAAGGGAAATGATAATTCAGTGATAAATTCGTTAGGTGGTTACTAAGATTTATAGATTTACATTGTCTGTGCTCTAAGGTGAAGCACATTTCGCAATAGCCAGACTTTAGGTGGGCAATTAATATAAATTACGAACTTAGCTTTTGGAAGGTCACCTACGGATTTCCACATAATAGCTTACTTGGCCCAACAATACTTTATATGTAGGTGTTTAATTGAACGGCTTGCGAATGCACTTTAATTTTTAAGCTACCCAGTTATTTTCTGGTTTTGATAAATAGTATTTTTTTTCTTATAGCCTTAGTAGTAGTAGTTTAGGGTACTATTAACATTATCTATTATTTGAGAATTTGGAGCTATGCAATCGTCAATGGATGTAGTCACTGCGACGTAAAATATCTATTTTGACTCGCCCCCGAGTAGCAACTAAAAACATAATGTATTTCCTAATGTGATTTTGTTTCTATCCTTAAGATAGCGAGTTTACTTCCATCTCAGCACATCAAGTGGATCGTCAAAGAGTAAACCTGCCATCGTAACAAAGTTAATCGTTAAGTATCAATTTCGACGACCTCGTTTAAGTGTTTGAAATTCGTATCGCGTGTATTAATAAAGTTTATAAGCTATCTTACGATCTGCGTATGTCGTTTTAAGGGATCTTGTACTCAAAGTTGGCAACAAAACGTTTAGCTGCGAGTGTAAGTTCCCCTAAATGAAGAGACTGCCTAACTTGAAATTAATTAAGTTTCGCACGAACTAATAACGTGACAGCAGTCAACTCGAACTATGGGCCCCTAGCCCGTTTTATTGAGAAATGACGATTGTTGTCTAGTCTGAAGTTGGTGTTAATTGCGATCCAGCCTCGTTGCTTATTGTATTCTGAAAACATGTTCCGGGTAATGATAGCCATTGCTTAGTTTTAATCTAAGACATGATTTAATAAACGATATTAAAGACAGTAACGATAGGTACCACCTTCTAAATTATTATTTAACGTACTGGAATATTTATCTTATCAGGGTAATGAAATCTGGCACTTAGCTGCCAAAATTTGATGGAGTTTCTTGCTTTTAATATTGTCTTATTAAATCTTTTCAAGTTTGCACCTACAAATATCTGAGCGAAATATTTCATCAAATATTTTCATTTTAAAGTGACGGTACGGTAATACCTCCCTTTTCAGCTGTATCGAAGGTTTGATATCGGTGCAGATGTAACGCTTTTTATGAAGTTTTTTGACAGCGTTTTGTTACAGCTCTGGTCTATGTGGCGTTAATGACATTGACATAGGTGACCTCGGTGACCTTCAGGGGTCAGTCAGTCATGAACTTCACACTGCTTGTTTGGTTTGACTGACGTCTAATATTGAAACATAATAGGCGCGGGCGCGGTATAAGAATACCTCACTGAATCGTAGGGCCTTCAATATTCAACACGTCATCGTACAAAGTAATATGAAGCGTCGCCCACATATACCAACCTAAATCAACACACATGAATGTGCATTTATACTAACGCAATCCAACAACCTTTTCTTGTATCAAAACACTGATTTTCAGTGTAACATCATCTGATGAGGTCGCTGATTCACCGATAGCATTATTCAATAGCGGTTCATCATCATCAGCCTATTAATGTCCCCACTGCTGGGGCAGAGGCCTTCCCTATGGACGGAATAGGGAGATTGGGCCATGACCCACCACGCGGGCCCAGTGCGGATTGGCGGGTGCTAACGACTGCAGATGCAGCCGGGACCAACGGCTTAACGTGCCTTCCGAAGCACGGAGGAACTCGAGGTAAAAGATTTTTGGTCACCCATCCAATGACCGACCACTGCGAAAGTTGCTTAACTTCAACGATCGCAGCCGAACGCGCTATCCACCCGCGCCATCGAGCTCCTCAACAATAGCGGTTAAATGTATTAAACTTTTAAAATTTAAGTAATTTTGCAAATTACTAATTAGCTCGCCTGATTGTATACGGCCATCATACTCTATAGGCGCTTGAGATGTACCAAAAAGTACCAGTATCGAATTTTCACCCAGATCTCTCCTCTACTGTGTGGTGTGCTTAGTTTCGCAAATTCCTCAATGCATCACTGCAGCAATAAAGAAGAACTTTATTCGATTGCAATTTTTATTTAGGTATTTAAAGAAATTCATTATAATCTTAAATTCATTTTTTTTACTGTCTCTTGCCTGTGCGATTATCTTACCTACAGTGTTTTAAAAAAAATATTAATAATGATTTTGGAATCAGAACAATGTATATAAGTTGATCAACATGACTGTGTTGATTTGATTCTTTGTTCAGTGTCTTTAGAAAGAAGTAACTAAGGTGAAATATCTTGAGTAATTTTAATTTTCATCAGTTACAGTGAAATTTTGAACAAATAGAGAAATTAAGTCTTCATAGTTATGTAAATGGGACACTTAGGGAAAACTTTATGCTTTGAAAACCGATACTTTATTACTGGTTTTTTTTAAACTCTTGAATGCTGTAAAAACGAAATGAAAGGAAATTTGGAATTCGGAAATCAGTAGCCAGGAGATAGACTTCAGGCATAAAACCATACGTTGATAGATTAAGCTCAATTATATATTCGCCTGATTCCTAATAAAACAAAATATAAAATCAAAGTTATTTTAATTATTATTGCTACGTTTCCAGGGCCTACCCCTTCAGGGTAGATCGCTGCAGTACGAACATACAAATCTTGCTCGTGAACAAGCTTAGTTGGCACCGCCGGTCCGGCTAGTAACCGGTTAGAAAATATTGTGAAAATAAAGTAGACAATGAAAAAATGGTTCAAAGCGAGGAACGTTTTAAAAATATAATTTATTACGCTGTTGGTGTCAT